ACTGCATCTTAAGAAACAAATTTAGTTATAAAATAGTAATAAAATTTCAAAAAAAAATAATTTTTTTTTATGCCGGGTAAATATCGAAAATCGAAATATTGGTGAGTAATTCAATACTAAGCACCAGTAGTTCTGTGTAGTATTAATCACTACCTATAATATTTATCACTACCAGTATTTTCCCAGTATTTCCCAATAAATATTGACAGTATTAAATCACTGAGATTTTAAGTATTTAGTCAGTAATACTTTTCTGTAAGGGATTTTTACAACAATTCTCTACAACTCTAATGTAAAAACTCAAATCGCAAGCTTCTTGTAACTTACGACAATATGGATTGCTTGCGACTAATGCAGAACCACCTTTATTGTCGTTTTCGGATTATACGACTCAAAATACGTAAGAATACGTAAGATTTATTTGTTCCCGTAACAGTTCCCAAAACCTTAATTTTGCATATGCTCCTTAAGCAATTTCACAATCTTTTGTACGTTTTGCCCCATAAAACCATAACGGACAACATGAAAACATCTCATAGTTATTTGACAAATTTTTTTTGGTAAATATGCATAAAAGGTCGAACCTCACCGATGACCTTGACCTTGACATATGTTGTCACCCTTCTGAGTGACCTTCAGAAGGTTTTAGCCGGCGGTCATTGTTCATTAAAAAGTTATAAACAAAAAAGTTTAGAAAATATAGCAGTTATTTGAGTATTGGAAGGCATAAATAACTAATATATATGTCAAAAAAACTTCAATTTATCAACAATTTACTGCTTTAAGTGTTGTGTTTTGGTAAAGCAGCGACTTTTTCGCGAAATAAAGTATTCTCTGCTTTAACAAAAAGACTTCAATTTATCAACAATTTACTGCTTTAAATGTTGTGTTTTGGTAAAGCAGCGACTTTCTCGCGAAATAAAGTATTCTCTGCTTTAAAAAAAAACGTAATATTAGTCGTTTATGCTTTCCAACCCTTACGAAAAAGTAGTACTAGCAATCAGTACTCAGTACTGAGTGATCAGTACTCGTAGTATTGACAGTATTAGTATGTTAATACTCATGAATACTGCAGAATGGTCAGTACTGTGTCTGTCAGTGCTTACAGTACTGGCAGTACTACAAACAATAATACTCATTAGTACTTCAAAGTATTGAAGTGGTCAGTACTTTATCTGATTAATATTCGGCGTACTATCATGATAGTACTGCCAGTACTGTAAGAACTAATAGGCACAGTACCGAGTACTGACTGCTAGTACTACTTTTTTATAACGTATCTTGGAAATACTAAATTAATAAAATACTAAATTAACACACTAAACTATCAATATGACGTTATTTTGATATTATCTTGACTTTTTGTTCTACTTGGGTAGTACTGCGCAAGTACTGCGCCTGTACCACACGTTAGTATCCCACGAGTATTCGATAAGTACTAAAAGAGTACTGGAAGGAGTACTGGTGGGAGTACTGGAGAGAGTACTGAAGGGAGTACTGGAGAAAGTACTGGAGGGAGTACTGGAGGGAGTACTAGAGAAAGTACTGAAGGGAGTACTGACGAAGTCAGTATGGTCGAATTTAGTAGTACTTTGAGTACTTATGTCTCCAGTACTTTCACCAATACTTTTTCCAGTATTAAAACCAGTACTACTTTTTCATAAGGGAATACTTAAAATAGCTGCTATATTTTCCAAACTTTTTTGTTAATAATTTTTTAACAAATAACGACCGCCGGCTAAAAACTTCTGAAGGTCACTCAGGAGGGTGACCTTGACAACATATGTCAAGGTCAAGATCATCGGTGAGGTTCGACCTTTTATGCATATTTACCTTTTTTTTAATGCAGGGTACTTAAAAGTATAAAAAAACGTAAAGAATAAATTTGTGTTGTTCTGCACAATTGTTTTCTGGATCAAAATAAAAAAGGAAAAAATCGCTAATATTTACATTATTTTTATCCACTTGTATACAAGGCTTTACGGCCTTACGATTATGGCTAAATTTTTGTTACGTGCAATGGCCTTAAGGTGGACATTGCGAGATTGCGACGCTAAAGGTCTATCCAGACAAACTTGCATAGGTGCATAACCATATGCATAAAGAAACAGATTGGTCTATTTCCTTATGCACATGCATATGGACCAATCAATTTCCTTATACTTATGTTTATGCGCTATGCAAGTTTGTCTGGATAGACCTTATTGCAGAAGAGCGCAGGAGTGGTTAACTCTAACTCTAACTTCTCTTCACCTCTCCTGTGCTCTTCTGTGTCATTCTATCTTTGTTGCTCATTAGGGGTCGAAATCACAGTCTCCAATTAACGTGATCCTCCGATTAAACTCACTCTGCATCTTTTTCTAACTGTCCCCCTAGAAAGAGACGAAGAGTGAGTTTAATCGGAGGATCACGTTAATCGGAGACCAGGGAGTAAGATATAAGGAGATTGATCTCCGTACTATGAAAGTGGGTCAATTTTTGGGCGAAAGTTGGTGGCGCTGGTGTTCCAAAAACGGTACCCTCGCTGCTGGTGACAGGCGGCTGAACAAAATTACGCGATGCGCAAAATTGGAATTTTACTACATTGAAGTATAAGAAAAGTGAGTTAAAAAGTGAGTAATAATTGAGAAAGTAAGTTATATTATATTATATATTATATTATATAATATAACACACACGAGCATTCGTCGTTCGGAGCTGCGGAATTCTGACGGCAAGTCGTTCGCTACGCTCTCGCAGTAGGTACACGCGGTGTAGTATTAATTGCTAGCTTATCTAATTAGTCGGATAAGGCGGCAAACGTCGTCGAAGACCGACGACGCGAAGCCACGAAACGATTCCTCGTTTCTATTCGCCCCCTGTATATTCGCGCTACATACAAGTGTGTCGTTTTATTGCGTCATTCGTGTGTGCCGCGACCGCGTTTACGCCAACACGTCCACGATAAAATCCCGGACGCTTGCAGCTGCGACGTCACTCTTGGCGCGCCCCCGGGAATAATCGAGGGCTTCTTCGAATTGATCGCGAGATTTTGGAATAGAACGGGCATCTCTCGCGAACGAAGAAATTAATTATGAGCAGCAACGGCGACGACAGTACGTGTCGGCACGTACTGTCGTCGCCAAGTTGACACTTGAACATTGAAACGGATCGTCACGTGACCCACCGATGATGGAACACAAGCGCTACGAGTGGTAACATTTAACACTCAACTTTCGCCCAAAATCAGGACCAATTTTTACCTCGATATATTTAGCAGACAAATTTGATATTTCTTATTATTGATTATTTTAATAGTTTGGGAATCATTTGGGCAAGTTTAGGAATATAGTTTCATAGTTTAGGAAATAATAGTTTATTTATAATTAATAAAAATTAATTGAGCGTATAGTTAGCAGACATAATTTTAAAACCAATTTTTTTCTTTTTAAATCGATGTGAAATCATTTGGGAAACACGTCTGTAATGTTTTAAACGTTTGGGAAATAATGATTTCATCTGAAAATCAAGTTACATGTGCGATAGCTGGACAGTTTCACCATGGTTTGTGAGTCATTCAATCATAGCTGAGAACGTGGAAAGTGCTGCTAAAGCATAAAAGAAACGTTTACTTTCCCAAAATGGATTCATTATTAAAGCGCTAATTGTTGCATCTTTCTCGCGGATTTTAATATATTTATAGATTGGAACCCGGAGTAATTCTCAATCCTGCGATAATTTTCATAATAGGGAAGCGGCGGCCAATCCATATGGAATGCTGTCCTTTGTTAAAATAATGTTGACTAAATAAAGGAACATACAAGGAGTATAAGATGAAAATTCCATTTTTTTTTCTAACAATGGCACATTTCTAAATGTGTTTTAAATCGCTTTGCGATTACAATTGCCACTGGAAATAAAGTAAACTCTGTTCTATGAAATATATGGATTTAAAAAAAAGCGAACTATCTTATTTGTAATAAATGCATCATAAATGCATAAGTACCGGATTAATGGATTCTATGGCAATGTATAACAAGTTCTTGCATGTTAATCGAATTGTCGAAATAATTGTAAAATATATATTTATTTTGATTAAGCTTGATCGTATGTATGTACATATACATATACCATACATACATACATATATATATATATATATATATATATATATATATATATGCATATACATATTTCGTTATACTGCTTTTTGTACTTAAACGTTTATGTAAAAAATCTTTAAAAAATATTTTTATCTAGTAGTAAGTAGGTCACAAATTATATACACATCACAATTTAACATAAATATAACTAAGAATAATATCTTAATTAAAGATGTGAATAATAAAATGAAAGAACTGAGCAAATTGTTATTTTATAATAAAATAAACATTTACGGACTAATATAGACATAATTGCACTCTTCTAAGATAATCAGTTAGATTCAACTGCACATCAGATTCATAGCGCGATATAAATGGCCCCAATCGGTGTAATTACTGTTGTCTCGTCACACCCTTCGACATTTAATTGCATATCATCACATTTCAGCCATCGTCCTGAAGGTTTTCGACAGTAGCCAATAAAGTGACCAGAAATGTGTTCGATGACACCTATCAAGCTGAAAACAATACAGTTTTTTATGTTTAATAAGTAAATAAAACGATACATAATAAGCGATATCTATATGTATATTACTAAACATACCGGTACTGTTTTATAAAATTCAGTGTAATTGGAACATCTGCTAACTGGTATTTGAGACCATGTGTTTTCTTACGATGTGTCCTCATATCCAAATCAATAAAGATGTGGAAATTTGAACGAGTCGTTTCAGTAACTGTTCCTGGGCATTTTTTTTGTCGGTTTTTTGTCGGTTTTTTGCACTTACCCTGGTAATCATTTTTATTGAATAAGACAGCATCTTGCAATGCTTGAATACCTTTGGTATTTATCATTTTGATATTTACTCCATGTATGCAACATCCATTGGTAATGGCGATACACATTCCGGATTATTACATTCAGACGATCTAATTGCACTTGGCTCAGTCGGTTCGGAACAACAAAAGAGATTCTTCCATATCTGAGTAATCGAGTCTTCTGCAATCAACTTGTGCGGTTTGATAGATGGAGCTTCAGGTTCTTTTACAATCGGATAAAATTCATTTAAAAGGACAATGCGTTCACGAAGTATTTCCATAGTTGGGCTCATCTTCATAAATTTGCATACAAATTTTAATGCGCGATTATTCGATGACTGTATAGAAAAATGATATCGAGAATCATAAAGTGCACCAAATTGCAATATATGGATGATAGCATCAAACCCACAAGTTTTTTGAAGATTGACAGCAATATTACCAACTTTTATGATTCCTAATTTTAGCCCATTCTTCAAAAGAAAACCTCTTTTTCCTCCATTATCAAATCTCTCGTTGAGAAATCGTATTTGTGGATATGATTGAAAATAGAAACCTACTTTCGCAGGTTTGTTCTTATTACATTTTGGATTCAAATTTTGTTGGTCACCTTTAGGAAATTCAGTCGATACTTCTTCATCTGATAATAATTTCGAATAATTATGGTCGATTAATGGCGTACTCGAGAAAATAACTTCTTTTGAATTTGGCGTTGACAATTCAGCGTGTGGATCCTTTTTTGTAAAAAGTTTGTCTTGCTCATAATTTTTAGAAAAGCCATGAGTATTATTATTTGGCTGAATAAAAAGATTTCGAGCAATGTTTGCGATGTCGCTGCTTTGAAGGTCGAGTACTTCAGAGAGAATTTGAGAAGTATCTTGAATATTTTTTGATTCTTCTTGGTTTTCAGGACTTATTTCATTAACGTCTACGAAACAGCTCTCCTCATTGACAAGTCCTTTCCACGCTTCACCACTCTTCAAATCAGAGTCATTCATCATGCGAGCCCTCTCGCGCAATAGACTTATTAAATTAAAATTCATATTTATATATGGCTGCTGCAATGAGGATTTTGATCCTTCGTCTGCTGAACGTGGATCTGATGCCGGTTTTCGTACTGAAGGCGCTGACTTAATACCTGCTGAACATGGAGATAATACAGGTATTTGGGAATAGAATTCTGAATGTTGATCTGCTGAACATGGTGATTTTTTCAAAGTGAGTTTTAATTCTCCGTTAGCTGCACATGCAGTTGGAGTGGGATCTTGCAAGAAGATTCCTAATCCATTGTCGAGTAAACATGAATCTGATATGGGTTCTTGCGACAAGAATCCTAATTCTTCGTCAAATGAACATGAAACTGGAGCAGCTTTTCGCGGGAATTCCGATTCTTTAACAGATGAACTAGGAGCTCGAATAGGTTTTTGCGAGGCTGATTCTTTCTCTGGTGTATGTGGAGATGGTACCGGCTGCCTGTGATTGTGATTAAAATGCTTTAATTTTGCTGCTACCTCATTAGTGCCAGAATACAAGTCATCAATGTGCTCTTTCAAAAATCGATTTGCAGAACACGGCAAAGGGATACCTTCAAAGATTCTTTGCCTTACTTCAGCAAAATATCCTTCCTGCGAAGCTGTCGACGCATGCGTTTGTTTGCCAGGGAGGGCTGCTGCAGTCCATATAGGAAACTCTTTGGCAATTCGTTCAAGTGACTGTATGAATTCCGAAAAATAAAAACCGTTTACAGCCTTGCACTCCATCTTTTGCTGATCAGGAGGTGTGGACATTGAAATAAGACTTCTAATCCATTGATGAGTGACGGTTAAATTCTTATCATTTTTTTCTTCAACTGAATTCAAAATATTTTCAACTTCCTCATCAATTTCGACGTTCTCTCTCGACGTCTCCAGCTCCTCGATAATCTGTCCATGTTCAGCCATGTACTCTTCCAGAAGGCGTCTAGCTTCAAAAACCGACACTTGTTTTCCTGACACCATTATACTTTCATCTTGGTCGAGATGCAGTGCAACGATGCATGTCAGTCGAAATACATGTTCGAACTCTTGCACTGTTTGACAGTCAATCATTAAAGCAATTGTACGAAGATAAAAACCTTTGACAATAGGATGGCGTAGATCTTTAATACATTTCCACCTGGCGACAGCAGCCATTTGATGAGCCACATCCGCTCTTATTAGAGTGTTAAATGGCCGAGGTGTTTTATATCTGTCTTTCGTTGCCCATTTGAAAAGAACGTCAACATATTCCTTTAGTGTCATGCGGTTAAATGCTTCACACATAGCCAGTAACAAAGCACGCCCTAAATCAGACATAGCTTCGTCTGGTATTGTCGCCTTACATGCTCGTATCCATTCCTGAAGCCAAAATGTGATGAAAACTGCGTCATGTTTTTCCGACAACATTTGGTACACAGGAAAAGTTTTACCCTCAAAATTGATGGTAATCGTGTATAAAAATATGTGGCCAGTTTTTCGCCTTGGGATAATTTCAAATTTTTTTACCACCTTACCCGTGGCATCTAGACAAATTCGAGAAAATCCTTTTCTTACTCGACAGTATTCTTTTTCTACGAAAATTTGTTCTGGGCTGCAGTAAAAAACGTAAAACTTCTTTGCTCTAATCTCGCGGATAGCATTGCTGTATCGGATGTCTTGTAACATATTGCGAATGCTAGTTATCATGTCCATTTTCACGCCTGATTTTATGCCAAGATCTTCCTTGTTGTGTTCCATCTTTGCTTGTCTGTAAATATGACATTTTTGTACCCACGGAGGTTCGTTCTCTCCAAATTTCATATTCTCCGCAAGTAATTTCTGCCGATATCCTGCGGCTCTTCTTCGTTTTAATTTTCGTCCAATTAATTTCCTTTCAGGACCATTTAATGACCATTTAAGGTCTCTTAACTTCTTCATGATAATCATTACGAGTATCACGCGTTGTGATGATCAAATGTAGTTCTCCGTTGACCGGTTTTTTGTAGGCAACGCCAACAATTTTATTATTACATTTTTTGCTTTTACATAATCCTTTGAACTTCAAATAGAAAGATCCAACGGCATAATTTTCATTTTCATCCTGTTCTATGCGTACGTATGACCATTTGCCCAGAAAAGCACATGGGAATTTGTACATATTCCAAAATGCTTTTGTGATTACATTTGGCCAAACCCATGATTTCAATCTTTTCTGTTGGTGATTAGAAGTCTGATCGGGCTTTATCTGTTCCCACTCAGTGGGTGAAAGAACTAGAGGGAACGAATCAACACCAATGTCAGAATCTCCATTCTCGTCATCATGATAAGATGATTTGTCCGATTCAGAATCCTCTAATAGTTCATCAATGATATCATCTTCGATGGTCGACTTCGATGGTAGTGGTCTTGGAGGTTGGATATTTATACCCAAATTCTGACGAGCTGCTTCGAGATTTCCATTTTTATTATCTCTTACGTATGTATAAACTGAATGCGGTTTCCATCTTCCATTGAGCTCTTTGCTCATGTCTTTCCAAACTTTTGCAGAACTCGAAGGAAAATTGTTGGTATTAAAATATTGCATATATTTCTGAATTAACAGAATTGCTTCTCGGTTAGGAACACTACAAGGCCGTCCCATCTAAAAAAAATGAAGAAAAAATATTACATACTCTCAATATTCATTACAGCAATCAGAAAAATAACTTATTGAATGCCCCGATAGGAAAACATTTATAAATTATATGACGAAATCTTAATGAAATTTGGAATGCTACAATTATGTCTCTATATTTAGCAACAATACATGGAGAAATTTAGACCTTTCATCAAATATTGATAAATATTTGCACAATTTATTTCTAAATAGTATTTCAGCAAAC